AATTAAATATGGCTTGGCCTATGAGAGAATGGTTTCAGGAGAACAAAAGAAAAATATTTAATATGCAATGACCTTGGCCTCATATATTATATAATTTCAAAGCAACCAAACTCTTATTGCATTCCAATAATAGTATTCATCATCGATTTCTTCTAAAAAGATCCAAGTTATTCATTCCCCGTACTTTCTTATAAAAATTCCTTATTTGGAGTTGCATACTTGCATGCTAATGAAACATTTGGGCATGCAGGTCATCACAAAACAGCTTAACTAGTTAAGGAAATGTTCTACTGGCCATTCATCAAAAAAATGTTGTCAAGATTCTAGATGAGTGTTAAACTTTCATTGCATATATGGTATGCGTCATAACAAGAAATCATGTGATTTTCAACCTGAGTATCGATGGCTAGCCTCAGTTATAATTTTGTGCTAGTGGTTGTCGATAGGCTTTGCCAAGATCACACTTTTTTTGTTATTCTAACCAATAATCCTCTCTATGGCAAATTTGGTGAAGAGATTGTCAAGTTCATGATCATCCCACTTTCACTGTATCAAACAAGTTGACCATTGTTTCAATAAAAAATTCTCATGCAATTTTGATGGAACAAGTGAAATTCGCATCTACCTTTTATATTAATTTGCTTGTAATTGTTTTGTTCATACATATGCTAAAAAAGAAACAACACTTTGAAGTAATACATGGGTCATAGCTAAGCAAGCCTATCGATCTCACACATTTACATGTGTATTTTGATTATGCAATACCACTTGTTTAGCATGTGCATGAATTACATTCTAATAACAAAACATAAATTGATCTACAAAAAAAAAAAAATACAAATATGGCAGATGTTCATAAAAAAAATGTAGTAATATAATAAAGGTAATTATACATTGATTCACATTTTCCCACAAAATACATTCAAGAACCTCCATGCCCAAACTTTAGGAACATTTAAAATATAGCATGAAAATAAAATGGCTAAAATAAACCTTGGACTATTTGAATTGGTCCATTTTAGCCCTTGCTATCTACTATGCTTAATTTAGCCCATTGATTCAGCAAATAAGGTCAAAATTAAACCCTCCATTAGATTATTTTGTATTAGATTTGATTCAATGTACTACTTTGGATCATATTTGAGGAGTTACTTTATTATATTAGACAAATTGGATGTTTTGGGGCTAAAACAA